AGGAATCACCACAATTCATGCATTTAGCTGGCATGTGGCAATTTTTAGTTCCGTGACCCCATCCCTGGCACTTACGGCACTGAGTGAGGTTTTGGAAATTTCCTCCAGTCTTCCTGAAGTGTTCCCACTTCACTCGGACATGGAGCATAAGGCTAGCTTCTTCTAAGGCCTTAAGGTTGTTTAGTTCACTAGACTTGAAGTGAACTAAATAAAAATCATTAGAAATCCCGTTGCGCGAATCGCCAGGACGGGATTTCATTTTCATTTTGATTACTTGGAGTGGCACAACTCCAAGTAATTTTGCCAGTTCATCTTTGATCTGATCCAGGGATTCACCACTGGGCAGTCCTTTCATGACAACCTTGAACACACGTTCAGTTTTGGTGTCGTAAGTAAAAAATTTGTGCTTCTTCTCAGTAAGATACTTGAGAAGACATTTAAATCCGTGCAAGGTTTCAGCCAATACACGGCATTCACCCCGACGTCCAATTTGTAGTGAAAACTTAACTTTCACGAAATTCAAAAGTTCCATGCGAAGAGCATGGAAATCGGTAGTGGTTATCACAATAGGGGGAATCTTTTCCTTCTTGGCATTAAGCCGGGAAAGTTTACTAGAATTTTTCTTGGATGATGGATCATTCTCATCATCCGTGAGCAAATCAAATTGATTACTCAAATTAATTTCATCAGAAGGGGGGTCAAGAGTTTGCCCCTTTCTTTTGCGTTTAGGCGCCATGGCGGCAGTAAATTTTTATCCAGATCGACTTCCAAGCAGATTACTATAAGAATCTGAAGGATCGAAGAGGAATTTTCCAAATCGATATCCAAGAAGGATTACCTCGGGTAGGGTCCAAACAAGGATCGAAGAGGAATAAGAGTTGAACAAGGTAGAAAATTTTTACAGGTTGAGCACTGAAAAGTGCTGTTTAAATTTGTTGTAGCTTTAGGTAGTAGTAACACTTCCTTCAGCAAAAAGCAAATAGATCCGCACGGCAAGAGAGCACGATGCGGACTTTTTTGAATTGACCATAGTTGTCAATATGCCAAAGGTTTGCATTTTTCAAGAGCTTTTTTTTTAGAGATAGTATTTTTTTTTTCTTTATTTAAGAGGTTTTCAACCTAAAAGCTGAAAGTTATTTAACGAGGGCATTTGGAAATATTTTAGTATTTAACACTTTTTTTAGTGTATTTTTCCTTGAAAGACTATCGATCAGAGGAGACGTTTTCGTGCTACAATTTATTAAAAAATGTCAAAGACGCTTCTCTCAGTCATTCCAGAGCAAAACGGTATAGTGGTTCTCAAAATTTTGTAAAAATTGGTCGCAAAATATTAGACACGTTTTTTTTGTCATTAGGGTGACCATTTCCAGGGTGGTCAAAAAAAATTTTTTTTTCCAAAACGACAGAAAGTGCAATATGTTTTTATATTTTTCCTAGAACATTTAGGATTTTTTACACAACAATACTCCCATGCGACAAGACCATGCGTCTCCATTGATTTATAGTCACTGTAACAAGGTTACGAAGCATGGTAGTCTAGTCGCATAGGAGTATTGAGCGAAAACCCAAAACTTGATAACTTCAAAAAAAATAACTCAAAAACGAAAAAAATTAACACATCGCTGATTTTTTTATATGTTGTGTAAAACAGCCTAAATTTTCAAGGAAAAATATAAAAACATATTGCACCCTCTGTCTACCAACCATAAAACCCAGTAGGGTGGCCAGCGAACCGGGAAAACCGTGAAAACCGGAAAATAACCGTGAATTTGACGGGAGAACCGTGAAAAATCAATAAATCATATTGCAATTAAAATACAAGTTTAATACATATGTTTCTTCAGCTAAAAAATGTTTTATTCAGCTCTTAATTATCTTAAACATTTGAAATTATTTGACCTTTTGCAAAACTCTCCTCAGAAATCCTTTAGAATTCTCCTCAGAAAGCTTGGAATTCTGTGTTGAATTTTCATGAAACTTTCTTAAGAATTTAATTTAAATTTTTCAACGTTTACTTTATTTACCTCAAAACACGATTCCTTCGGCATTTTGCTCAGATATTAAAATTGTCTTGTGAATCTTCCTTAGTATACCTTTGAAATTATTATCAGAAAACCCTTTAAATTCTGTTTATGTTTCTTTTTAAATTCTCCTTAAAATTCACCTGCTATTCTCCTCACAATCCGCATACAATTATCTTCAGAATCACATAGGAATTCTCCTTGAAGATCTTCTCACAACTCCTTTGTAGTTCTTCTTAAAGTCCGCCAGGACTTAAGGGAAGGTTCTCATTCAAATGGCCAAATAGTAAGCAAAGCTTGGCATTTTGTTTTTGTGGGCCAATGAAAACATAGAAGGATGCGGTTTTGAAATTCAAAAAGCTTAGAACGTCTTTATTTCTAAATTTTTACAAGGCGAAAAAAAAAACAAAATGGCGCCCGTGGTCACGTTTTGAGTACGGTAGTGTACGTCTTGAATTGTCAAACTGCGTACAGCCTGGTACCTCAGGATCGATCTGAAACACAACACGATTAATGAGACTTTGAAGTAAACTAAATTTTTTGGAGGAATGACCTAAGAACGGGTAAACAACTTCAAATTTGACAAAATGCGATCTCAAACTTTTTGGTTTTTTCACCCCTTTTTTCCCTCTTTAAGGCTTCAGAAAAAATAGTGAATACAAAGAATTTGTAGATTTTATAGGTCATCAAATTAAAAATGTTTTCTTTCGATTGGTCAACGGTAGAAGTCGTTAAATTGAACCGTTTTCAAATGAAATTGTACGTAGTTTTGAAAAATCATATTTCGAGATAAACGCGTTTAAAGTTTTGGCAACAGTCCCATGGCGGCCGGGACGCCGCTTCGAACAATGGCCTGTAGAATTTTTTCTTGTGCGCGGATCGAAAAACCCTTTCAACACAAATTAGTAGACACTTATAAAAAATCGATGTTTTGAAAATTTTGAATGCGAACCTCTCCTTAATCCTAGAATTAATTTAGGGTTCTTATCAGAACTCCGTTGAATATTTCTTCAAGTTCTTCTCACAATTAGGAATTTTCAAAATTCTTAAAAAATCTTCATATTAGTACCCTGAACATTTTTCCAAGACTACAACATTTTCCAGCGACTGAATTTGTCCAAATCTGGAATCTTGATTTTTTTAATAAGGGATCTAGAAAAAAATCAAAAGCCCACATTTTGACTATTTTTCTTATTTTCATATTGTTGGAAAAAAAACAATCCTGTTTTTTTAATCCAAAATCTAGGATACATTTTCATTCACAAATCTCTAATAAATGGCATATTATAGGACTATAAACACATGCCAAAGCCTCAGAATCATTGAAATTAAAATTGTTTTAAAGATTTAATTTCATTTTTAAGATTTATATTAGTACAGATCACAATACTTTAATACTTGCTTCTTATCAAGTTCAAGATTTTTAAAACAATGTATTTGTATAATCCCTCCCTCTAAAATTCGATATAATGACCCATTCAGCCCGAAATTGATTCTAAATACCTCGAAAATAGCGTGATATTGCAATCATTATTTTTACTAATTATAAAAAAAACCGGGAATATTTTGAGATTTGAACCGGGAAAAAACAGGGAATTTTAAAATTAACATTCGCTGGCCACTCTGAAACCATAAAAAACAAATACAATCAATGTTTGTCAATACAAAACCCCCTTTTTTAAACATCATTATATTTTTCCTAAAAAGTATTTTTTAACTAAGTTTCATTTGACATTTTGATCTTTGAAATCGGCCCAATGATAACGAAAAAATAACCAAAAATAACGAATTTGTGAAAAAACAATTTTTGGACCACTTAACATGGAAATGGACACCCTAATGACAAAATATAAAAAAAAAACGAGTCTATCATTTTGCGATAAGGAACAAAATTTTATTTTTTTACGAAATTTTGAGAACCACTATATCATTTTGTTATGGAAAGGTTGCTCTGTTAACAACTGCAACTGTGAACTATTGAGAGGAGGCGTACAATCTCAGTTGGGCCGTAATAGAAAAAGAAGATCCTCGTTAAATGGGTATCCGAGCCCTAATGTAATAAATTGCTCGTAATTTGTTTCTTCGGGCAACGTTTGTCCAAATTAGAACCTCAGCACGATTTACTCTCGGCATTACCACCCCTCACCGATACCAAGTCAACAGCAATATTCATTCGACTTGGTGTCTCCGTTTTTTTTTTGGGAAATGAATATTTTACATTTGCCGATCTCCAAATAAAACCTCTCGCAAGTGACATAAAACCGTCAAGTGCCATTATGTGGTGTACTTTACTCGGAAAGTATGTCAATACTCTTCCACACCACCCAACCACTTTAGCGTTCAAAGCCACATAATTTTCAAGGACTTCGCATCCTGTGTCACTGTGACTTTCCACGCTTTCCATATTCATGATGGAAACTGTAAAAAGGAAAATTCAGTCAAAGAGAAGACATAATATCATAGGTACCCCGCAAAACCCAATCTACCCGAAAGCGGATGTACGCTATTTGCGATTTTAATTGATAAAAATTCCCTCGAGTAATGCAATTTCGTTCTTTTTCCGTCTACGATCAGCACTAAGGGAATATGGGAACATATTTGCAAGTTGAGCTAAGCACCGTTGCCCGCATTCTCCCACAGTTTTCAATACTAAAGGCAGGGAATGAGGGTGAAAAACGGGCGAACGCGAGCATGTTATTTTCCTCTGCCTACTACTCGTCTGGGGTGGAAAATGCTTCATCCCCCTACGAGCAACGACGCTGATGTTACCATGGTCACAGTAGCCGCTTGCTTTGACTATGATAGGAAGAATATTATTGCGACGGCATATGCGAGAAGAACGGGCAAAACCACCCTCAAAAATGTCATCTATTATGTACGAGTGCATAAACAGAAGAAGAAAAAAACTTAAAGGAAAATGTTTATTTTTGCTCTCCAGCGCTGTGCCCTGCCGGGATAGACATGCTTGTACACACTTACCGTATTTGTTAATTCCGTTGCGTTTGGTGTCGGAAGATTTGTCCATGCCACCCAACGGTTCCAGTTCCATGCTTTCGGCCATGGCCACCTTGTAGTCGTTTCGGCGCTTCATGGTGTGCTTTGATTGGATTGTGGATTGGAAGGAAAGTGTTGTTCTTCTTAAATCGATTCTCGAGAACTTCTTTGGCCCACTTGTTGATGCTGAGTTACTGCTGTGTCCGTTGTGTTTGCTTCTTTTCACTATTTCACTACACTTGTTCTATGCATACGACTAGCAGCTAGGTGAGATAAAATTTGTAGTTTCGTGTGTGTGTATATATATAAATTGTCGATATGATATTCTGAAAAGAAGGGAAATGATATCTTTGATTAGAACCAATAGTGCATTTTTCCATTTATGCGTACTCACATAAGTGTATAATATTTATTCAAGTAGAGATATCGGGTTTGATATGATGATTACTTTAAAAGATGTTCAATAGTCGCCAGTCGCGCTAAGAAGCTTACGGTACAAGGAGATAAATATATGCTGAAGTTTCTTCCCTAAATCCATAAAATGTTGCTACACTTTTGGTTGTTGCTGCTGCTGCTGCACAAATAACGCAAGCGTCCGTGAAGAGCACGGTTCCGATTAAATCTCTTGACGTCGTCGTCGTCGTCGTCGTAGGATACAGTGATAATATTGTTATTCTTCTAACAGAGGGGGATTGAAGTTTCTAACTTGAGTATGCTATTCTGATTGGTTGGTGCTATATGCTGGGTTCTATGGAGGGTGACCAGTTAAAAGTTTGAAAGGCACATCAATTTCCTAGAGACGATGATGGTTCTACAATACACTTTCCAAAAAGAGAGGCTCTAGCTCACAAAATGATTGTTGTTCGTTTTTATATGTTGTATCACTTGTACACCCACTGATTGTTTTCTTGCTAAATGCGCCACATTGCCGATTCGAATCTTCAATATTTTTCACACTCCCGAAATGACACCATTTTCTCAGCATCCAAGTCACGTCTAATAGCGATACACTACCAAAGGTTATGAGTTGAAAAGCTTAGCACTGACAGTAAACTGCGAAATATATGCACCCATTCTATATCCCCTCCAGAACGAGTCCAAGAGATGAACTACTGTGCCAATACTGATAAGCCACGAACTTCTGGTTGTACACTGCAAAAAGCTTCTTCTAAACACTCCACTAAATAACTATCGTCTACCAGTACTTCTGGTGGTGGTTGGGAGTCCATTTTCTTGATTGTGCGTACGGAGATTTTCATGCGAAAAGCGCTGCCTCCCGAAAGGTCAGGATTTTCACTGTTGTAAAACAGATTTTCGACTAACTCTCCCTCCACTATCCTGTGTTCTGTGTTTGCTCGGCGGTCGTCGTCGTTCACTAGGGAAACACAACATGCGAAGAAGTCTGGCCGTGTAGAGGTATCAGAGCACCGAAAGCGAAAGCCTGTTGTTGGTGGTATTGATTTTGTCCTGGAGGATATCAACAAATGGTGCGCAGGCGTGCTGGGTGGATCATTCTGGGCAAGGATTATGTTGCAAAGAGGTTGTTTGAGCTTCTTTAGAAATAACAGGTGGTGAGTTTTTTTTCCTTAATTTGTTTTCCGTCGATCTTGTTTTCCGTGCTGAGCACCAATGCTACAACTGTCGACCCATCAACTCATGAACCGGGGACGAACGGCTTTACTTCCCTTCCGAAGGAATGCGTGATCAGAGATGTTATGCCCCAGAACATCCCGGTGGCGCCGACTGGGCTTGAACCCAGACTTGCTGGGGTGAGAGGCAATCACGCTTACCACTACACCACCGGCGCCGCTCAGTGGTGAGTTTGTTCGTAGCAAGATTTCATTTTGAACATTCGATTTGAAGTGTTGAAACGCTTGGCTTAAAACCTAATCAGGGGCAGAGGTGGGAAGTGTCATGGAAATGAATGTCATGACATTTTCCCCCTATACATTTTCATAGTGACATTTTTTGTATAGAATTGTCGTTACCACCAACCGGGAAATGTAAGATTTTAACACAGTTTTGCATGAAAAGAAGTCATAATTTGTAATGTATATTCGCATGAACATATTCTGTAATGGAAGGTTTTTTAAATATTTTTGTATTAATACTAGTTATGTTTTCGAACAATGTTTGTTGTTGCCCAAAACGAACTGCGGCTATAAAATAATCTCGAAAATATTAATTCTGAAAAAAAAAAACCTACTTGAACGCCACTGTTCATTGTAAGAACTGCCATTATATTTGTTGCAATAACAAATGCAGTAGATGTAATAAATCTACCCTTACATTTGAGGTTTATGCCATTTGCATTGCGTGTGAGATTTGAGGTTTTGGTTCAATGAAAAAATAACAATTTCAGGTGTTCGAACCTGACGTTTGTTTTTTTAGTCCGTGGAGTTTTTTTTTATATATCTGTTAGAACGGAAAATTTATTTTCCAGGAGATGCCGGAAGAAATTCCCGGGCAATGTTTGAAGTAGCTTCTAAAGGAAGCCGATAAAACTTCCAGAGAAAGAATAAAGTAGCTCTACTAGAGAAAGTTTGAAGAAAGTTCTAAGAGAAGTCAGAAAAACTTCCGAGGAACTTCCAAGACAACTATTGAGAAACTTCTGAAACACTTCCAGAGGAAGCCAGATAAATCTGAAACAAATTCCAGGAGTAGCCATTTCCATGGAAAGCCAGAAGAAGCTCAGAAAAACCTTCGAATAGAAGCCGAAAAAAAACCTACGGAGAATGGCTTAAGGACAAATTTCCAGAGGAAGACGAACGAAATTTCTGGTAGATATATTTGGTGAAAGTTTAATGAAACTTCCTGGAGAAGACGTAATAAACTTCTTGGAGAAGGAAGAAGATGGAATAAGCTTCCTAAGGTAGAGTGGAAGAAACTTCTGGAGAAAGTCAGAAGTCAAAGAGCTTACAGATCAGTCGAAAGAAACTTCAAGGAGAAGTTGGGGGAAAATTCCGGAAGAAAGAGATTTCTTGAGGATGTTAGCTTAGCACAACATTACCTGAAGTTCCTTGCATGTTCTAATGATCCTGAGTAATTTTTCCTAATTTTTATAAAACAACCCTGAAGATCCAACAATGCCCCTGAAATGCACTTCGAAATATCACATAATTCCTCGGAGCTCCTTGAAAGTTTATGGGGCTCTTTTGGAAGTCCTCTGATCATCCTCAAAGTACTGGGAACTTCCTTAATTATTATGGAACTACCAGAAAATCTCTAATCTTCTTTGAAGGTATCCGGACTTTCATGAAGGTTTCAGAACTTCTTAAGTGCTCTCACAATATTCTTGTAATTAATTCATCATTAGCATTGAAGCTCTCTGATCTTCTCGTTTTTTTTTTTTTGATTTTTAAAGTTCTCGAAACATGCCTCTCACAATTTTCTAATATTCATATTACTTCTCTTAAGCTTCCAAAATTTTCATGAACCTCTCGGTACTTTGCTCAAGTTTTCGGAAATTCCCCGAGTTTCTCGGAACTCTTTTTAAAGTTTCAGCAATTTTATTTAAATCAATTGATCCTTTCTGATGTTCTCAGAGCTTCCCTAAGTTCTCTGAATTGCCCCGGAAAAATGGAATAGTCCTGAAAACCATTAAATTTCCCTAAAGTGCTTTGCATTTGTGGAGTTTTTAAAATATGTTTCCTTAGGTTTATTTGAGTTCTCTGGACTTTCCTGAAATTTCCGGGTTCTCGAATTTTAACAGAATTGAATGAAACTTTATTTAATTCAACGGAACTTACCCTGACAGATCTTTAAACTTACCCAAAAGTCTGAGCTATTCTGAATATTCAGAACTTCTTAAAAGTTCCTGCAGTTTTCCTGAAGCAAGAGTGGAACTGCAATAAAACACTTTAAGCATCCCTGACGTTCCGGGGAAGTTGAAAAAGCAAACTGGCGGAAGAATCTTTCGAGCTAAACCAGAAGAAACTTCCAAGCGAAGTCGAAATTACTTTCCCGTAGGAATCGGTAAATAACTTACGGGGTAAGGTGGAACGATATTCCACGGGAAGATTGAATAAACTTTAGGAGGTTAAAAATTCAACATATTCATGGACCTATTTATTCACTGAATAAAAGTATTTTCTGATTCCCAACAATTACCGGGATGAATCATCAGTTGTTTCTCAATTCCTGGGTAGCGAAAAAATCAGCGAAAAAAATGGAAACATTAATCGAAAGAGTATCAAGCATAAGACGGCACTAAAAATAAGAGATATTCAAAAAATAAAAGTCCCTCACAATGGTTTCCTCCAACAGTTCAGCGCGGACAGGCAATCATTTTGATTAAATATTATAAAAAAAACGGTATAAATCGATATAAAATCTAAAAAATCGGTATTCTGAGAAACCATATCTGTATATTGGTATCAAGTTCGAAAATCGGTATATCTGGCAACGCTGCTCATGCCCCAACCATCAGAAGAAAATGGAGCATCACTTAACCTTTCTAGCTTTGATGCTTCGAACGACCAACCAATCATATAATTACCAAAATCGGAACGCAAGGTACGAGATGTTCACGTTTCATCCATTTATTGGATTCTGAAGCATCGTTTTCTGAATCATCTTGCCCCTTAAATGCTGCACAGTAGGCCTGGCCGTTTTGATATGTGTGACGCATCTTCGATGTGAAACATATATCAAATAGACATGAAAAATTTATTGAGTTTTAAAGTATTATTGAGTTTTTAAAGTACTTTACAAGTCTAAATCATGTTCTAGAGAACCCTCATGAAACCCAAATTGTTACTTGGGATGTCTTAATTTTGAAATCATTTAGAATTCTGTGAAGAAGTGTTTCTGATGTTCAGAATCACCAGAATCAAGACTTTGAAAAACATCCAGAGAACTTTATTGAAATTATTTTGAAAATTAATGGATATCAACTAAGTTCTATAGAACTTATACGAAGGTTCCTGTACTTTTCCAAAATTTCTTTAATTAAATTCCAGCTCAAATAAAACACCCTGAACTTGTAAATATTTACTATGTCCCTTTTACTGTTCCCGGAAATTTCATGTTGAACATCATGTTGAATTTATAGCCGGCGCCGGTGGTGTAGTGGTGAGCGTGACTGCCGAGGTCGGTGGGATTTTTCTGAGGCATAAACATCTCTGGTCACGTCTTCCTTCGGAAGGGAAGTAAAGTCGTTGGTCCCGGCCCATGTGTGTTCTGAATGGGTACGATATCCTGCGCAGGTGTGGAAGCTGCCTTCCTGCACATTCGATTGTCGTCAATGGATGGCAATCGATGTCCGTCGGTGATTGGCACTAGATTGCGGAACAGAGACGGACGTTAAAAAAAGGGAAATATCATGTTGAATTTCTACATTATTCCCATCTACAAAACTCCCTGAATTTCACGTAATTCTCGAAAATCTAGCCGAGCTTCTATGACGTTCCCTGAACTTCTTCATAATTCCTTGCTCTTCAAAGAAGTTTGGTGAAGTTTCTTGATTTTCTATTTAATTCGCCCAACTTATTCAAAGATCGTTGAACTTATTTAAATTCTTAGCCTTTCTATCAAGCTTTCCGAACTTTCAAGAATTTCCTTTATTTTCTGTTCTCTATAAAATTAAAATTCTATGCGATTCCCTATAGACCTTTTTGACGTTTAATCATCTTTCTCTATCTAGCACAGTTGGATGAACGGACGGTTTGTTTTCCCACTAATCTGTTTCCCTCTTGCTCGCACTCGTTCGATTTCAATTGTGCAGTAGTGTGCGCCGATTAAACGTCAAAAAGCTCTATACATTATTTTTTTATGATGCGCAGAAAGAAGGTCCCGGAATTTTATTAGATTTTCCTGCCATAATTCATTAAAGTTTCCCAAACTTGTTCTTTTACGAAGTTTAAAAAAAAAAATCGTGCCGTAGCGCTCAGAAACCATTAAAGTTAAAAGAAAGTAAAGAAAAATACCAAAACTTTAACGAGCTTCCCCAAGCGTCTTCAAATTTACAACAGTACAATAGTAAATAATTTGCATTTCTACGAAGTTCACTGGATTTCTGAGAAGTTCGCTGAGCATTTATAATATTAGCTGAACTCCTATAAAATTTGTTAAACTTCTAGAAAATCTCAAGAACTTCTACGCAGTTCCTGAAGTTCTAAAAAGTTTTCTAAAGTGCTATGAAATTTCTGAAGATTTATGAGGTTTCTTGAAGTAGTATAGCATTCCCTAAACTTTTAAATAGTTTTCCAACAATCTATGAACTTTCCTAAAATTAATCTCTTCAGTCATAGCTTCCACGAATTTTCATTGATTTTTAAGAAGGTCACTGAGCTTCTGCAAAAGCTCAGTTTAAAAATTCTAAAAGAGTGTACCCATAATTTATAAATGTTGAAGTGAAGACGTTTTGACGATTCTTCTCATCAGTGCTGATAAAAATC